GTCTCTCCGAGTCTCTCCGTCTTTGGAGCCAAGGATGCAAAAGAAGACGACGCGCATTTCCAGATGTACCGGTAATGATTTGGACGGTTGTCATGCTTCGATAATCGAATCTCAGTCTGCTGACCACTCACCTGAGAAGCCCACTTGCGGATCTCCTCCTTCACACCATCTCGATCCAGCGAACGCAAGCGCAAGCTCGCTCTACACTTCCATAGTGTTGCCGCGGCGGACTTTTTCACAAGCTTCTTTGAACACGGGCGCGTCATCAAGCGACTTGAAAACAAAGGTTCTCAACTGGAAGATGTACCGGAAAGGGTCTTTCGTGAACGCCTGAAAACCTGAAAACGTTTAAATGAAGACCCTTGAAACCTGAATTCTCAATAGTGGTGGAAAACACAATTCGGGTAAACTCATGCAAGATGTTTCTGCGTGGGTGTGTTGTTTGTCTAGGGTACGGGTGACACATGTGTGGGTACAACTGACAGTGGTGCGCCGAATCCAATCATTCGCATGTCCGCTTCTACTAGGACGTCATCAAGCATTTCCCAGTGGATAGCTTAAAGATCCTAAAATGCAAATGTTACACGTCGATGGCTTATATAATCAGTACCAAGGGGCACGGCCAACATGAATCGCCTCCGGCTGCCAGCCGCCGCAGCCCGCAGCGCCCGCGCGCAGCCAGCTGCTTGAGCTGCAGGCACAGACAGCTCATGCTGTCTGCCATGCGCTCGGATCCGCACACGCGTCAGGGTCATTGGCACGAGATGGTGTGATTGGTTTGAGATGAGTTGGTGAGCTGTTGACTTGGTGTGAGTTGAGTTCGTGTAAGTTGCGACTGCTGCATCGATTTGGTGGAACCGGAACCTGGGCGCGAAAAATTGGCGAACATGAAAAGCAATGGGCGACCCAACTGATAAGTAGCACTGGAGCCTGTTGCACAGCGCTGCTGCCTTTGAGGGGAAAACATTCAATCTCCAACCTTGCTTTGATAGTGAAACAGCTGAGCGACGATGAGGTCTGGGACAAGCTCAGTCAGAAAACACTGATCAAATCAACTCATGTTTCCCCGCGTACTTTGAATACCTGTCAAAATTGCCATTGCGACCCTGACTGTGCAGCCTAAATTAGCTGTTTGTTTGTTGGTTCTAGCTGAGGCACGTGATGCGTTTGAAAGAAGCTCTGCATTTCTTACCTTGATCCAGTGCACAAGTGACAAAAAAACTCAAGTGCACAAGCAACAAAAACCCCAAGTGCACAAGCGATTGCCCGCCCCCAGTCTTTGGGGATGAGTCTGGATGCGGGGGTTGTTGTGTATGGAATAGTGGATATTTTTCCAGAGGAGTCACCCTTGAACAAACATATGTCAGTGAACATGGTCTGCCCCAAAGGACAAAATTTCTGTCACACCGGTTTTTCACCACTTGTGATGTGAGTCGGGTCTTTGGATCTAAATCTGGGTGTGGGGTGGTTGCATGTGAAATGGTGTGGATTTTTGTCCAGATGCACCATCCTTGCAAATGGTGAATGTCATTGGACTTGGTCAGCCCTAATGGACAAAAACAGTTTCACCTTGGATTTTCAGATTTTGTGGTGTGAGTCCAGTCTTTGAGGATGAGTCTGGGTGTGGGTTGGAATGGTGTGGCATTTTTGTCCTCAACTGTCAGCTTTGAATATGGGTAATGAATGGTAATGATGGTAATGCAACCTGATATGGTCAGCCCGCAAGGACATAAATGCTATGAATGTTGATTTTGTGTTATCATTTTCATATGTTTGCAAAATCCTGGTGCGCAAACAACTGGTGAGAGCACAGGGTCGTAGTGTGCTGATTCGTGCTTCCCTCTTCTCCTTTCCCTATCTTCTTCTTCTTCTTCTTCTTAGTCAGTCCTTAGTCCCAAAATGTTCGCAATCGTCTCAAACATCTCCCGTATTAGATAAATATTAGAGGGAAGAAAAAGGGTGATGATGGTCACTTCAAAAAGCAAGCATGGTTTTGGGTCATGTATTCACTCAGCTGTTTTTTCCTGACCCCCTACCTCCAGGAACATGCAGAAACAACATTTTAACAGTGACATTTTTCCCCTGTCCCCTTACCCCCCCCCCCCAAAAAAAAAAAAAAAAACTCTTATTCAATAAAAATAAATCCCAGCCCCCCACCCCCCCCTCTCCAACTTAGAGGCCAAGTCAGGATTTATCTCCTGGGTGGCCTGTTCCTATATGCCCTGAGAACAACTTGTTTGTCCATTTCGACATTTCAAAAAGCGTAGTGCACCCCCAGGAAATAATTTGGGCAGTACAAAGGATGATTTTTCACCACCCAAAACTCTTAGTCGTCAAACATCCTCTCACCCAAGACTGAACCAGAACCGATCGTGAAGGGCCAACGAGGAGCTGCTGAATGAACAATATGATGATGAGTGTCTTTCAGTTACAGCTACTGATACTGAATGGGCAGAACCACAGCAACAGTTTCCCTTCAACCCGATTCGATCTCGCCTCGGCCAAGCGTAGGCAGGCATCTCCCAGGCTGGCGAAACCCTCCACCCGTGGCGCTGGGGCTTGGCCCTGGCCACATCGTGTGCAGTTGGGTAGCAGGGAGATTCCACTTAGAAGACCAGCCCCCAAGTGTACCCCCCACCCAACTCATCCCAACTCACTTCGCAAAAACGCAGCCCATGCCAAGTCATGAGGACGAAAGAAGGCCTTCGGTTCTTGGTGGAATCATCAAATGTACAACCTTGTCCAACTCAGTAGTGACAATTATCAAAGCACAACTCTTCCATTTCCAAGGGCCAAAGCGGGTCTCTCATGTGTTGAAATGACCCAAATCTATGGCACACATCATGATGACTTCGAGTCAAATTAATGAGGACCATCCCGCAGGATAAGGGCACTGGTTAACAACATTAGTTGTGGAGGAAGCTCTTTTTGTCTGGCTAGGGTCATGAAGGCCATGTTGGTCGTCAGCTGGCAGCTGTACACTGTACAGGGTATGGCCACACAACTGTACGACCTGATTCTCATCAATAATGTTGAGCTGAGAATTATTGTAAAGAACACAACGGTAGCTGTTCCACTTTTGTGTTTTCTGATCTTTGCCAAGTGAACATCAAGTTACACTATCTTCTGGGCTTCAGAACAAAGCTGGTGCTTAATGTCTTGGCACCATGCTGCGGTCCATCGCCGCCGGCACCGGCACCGCAGCCACGCGCAGGGTGGCCGGATACCCGGCATAAGCCAAGCGTCGGGTTGTTGTAAAGCGGGAGGATGCAGGGAACGTTGGCTCACGGACGAACCATGGAGCAAGCTTTGGGTCGCTGGTGGCATCGATCCTCACCTTGGCGGGCAAAATGGGCAATGGTTGCCCATCAACTGGATCAACTCTAGTGTCCCAAACGCGAGGTCGAAACAATGGGTGGATGATTTCCGTCCCCGTATCGGGGGGAAAGACCTTTGCAAAACGATCCTTTCTCTTACAAACTGAACGCTGACTCCCGCGGTCCTAATCTGCTACAAGTAAAATTGAGTTAATGGTCAGATAGTGGTGCTGACGTTGAACTGTCTGGGTAGAGTACGATTAGACAATCCACGAACACACAAACTGAACGCCTCAGGTGCTTCAGACCCTCCTCAGTCACATGGATTCGATCGGATCAGCTGGTCATACCAGTTGAGCTTCTTTTCAACATCCCATCCAAATGTTAGACTCCACTCATGGAACCCCTATGGCTCCGCATACAGTTCCGAGGCTTCAAAGAGAACCAGCCAAGTCAGGAAGAAAGGGGTTTCGGGGCCATGTTCGTCGTTGCCAAGTATTTCAGAGAGCCTCCACCCACTAGTTGACCGCTTGACCATCATTGGAACTCCATGTTAAGATACTTTTTGATAGTCCCACCCCGAATTTTCAGCGAAGTGGCTGAGGCCCGGCACATAGGGCAGGCCGGGTGATCGGGCCGCGCCCGCAGGGACTTCGCGATGCAGGCGGCATGGAAGCAATGCCGACAGTTGACCTGACATGATTGGGCGCCACGGAAGGATGGATCGCAACTCGGATGATGAAAGGGTTCAACGAGGTCCACCAGGCCCAGGTATATTAGAGGCATGTAAGAACAAAGTTTCACTTGACACTTGATTCTCTTTCAGAGAATCCGTTCAGTTCGTTAAGGAGTGAACCCTCACATCCATCCCCATCGCACCCAGTGCACCAATACGTCAAACATTATGATTCTGACCATCCATGTATTAATTTAATGTTATACATATATAACATAAATCAAAATATACTATTAAATATTATATATGTATATGTCTCGAAAAGGTGCTTTTTCTTGTGCTCGCACCCAATCTGCCAGGCCACCTGCAGAAGCTTCAGCCTTTAGCATTTAGGGTGTTTGGAAGGTTTAGACCGATGTGATGATTTGACCTCACCAGGACCAGTGCCAAAAAACATGAAAGACCTGCACAGGCTGAACCGTGCAGGTGGGATCTGGTTGGGCAATGCGGGAAGAACATCGGAGCTGAACAACGACTGACACAGGCTCTGGTTTTGACTGAAGGCACAAGCTGGGTTGGACCACAAAGGCCTTTTTGGGTGGGATGTCTGCCCGAGTGGTGGTGCCGGTGCTTTCCCTTTCTCCACCATCAATCAGCTGATTCAACCGCCAGATTCATCTCAATCAGCCGAAGGCATGTCCTGCCAAGCCGCCAATTGCACCCACCCAAACGCCACGCCCTTGATTGAACGCTGCTCCGCATCAAGGGCGTCCAAACAAACCTGGGCAAAAAGGTTCGAACCTGTTTGAAAGCTCAAAACCTTGATACCGGAATTCGGAACAAACATTCAAGGTGTGCAGAGCTACTTGCGCCCCAATCAAGTAAATAGAACATTACCAAAAATAGAAAAGCACATCCCTTGAAAACAAAAAGCTGTCCTCTAGTTTGAGACCTCCAATTCATGTTAATTTATCATAATTGATCAAGACTATTCAGGACTCAAGATTTCACGCATTCTCTCGAAACACGTGTGTCCCAGTCGCCGCGCAGGTCTCCACGATGGGCTTCGCACCCTCCGCGGCGTCCTCGGCCGCTTCGTCACGCTGCGCATGCTGCGCGGCGGCCAGGGCGGCACGGAAGCTGCGGAGAGATTCAGCGAAGTGGTGCGCCAGCAAAGCTTCCACCACATTGGTGTCCTCGGCTTAAGCGCTCCACATTGGACATGTCATCCAGGTGACGCTGACTAAGGGTCTCACCTATTGGTACCTGAAATGAGTATATAATATATTATAATGTGGTTTGTTCTGCATTTATGAAAATTACAAATCGATCGACTGCAATTATGATTTCGATCCAAAAAGATGTTATCCAGGGATCGCCCGGTTGAATCTGCAAGGTGTCGTAGACCTGCAGGGCTAGGCGGGCGGCGGTACTGGGTGCTGCCCGTTTCTGCATTCTCTTTGCAACCTGGAATCATCAAGGAAAACACTCTCTATGACTTGGCTAGACCTTACTGTAATTGACTCTGGTGCTGGACAATGCTGGATTATATTGTTTCATGGATTCAGGACCTTCAACAAACGGTATTGAGAACCTGTGGAGAAGCTGTGAGCATCCATTGATTGAGTTTTGCATTCAAACATACGATCATACCAATCTCCCCTCCATCCTTCGGCTGGTCCAGCCTCTTTGATGTCCTCCCAAAGGTGGTTGGACGCCTTGAGATCCACAATTCGGCCATAGGTTGCCAGCTGTTCGCCCAAGGTCAACACGCGGAACACGAAGTAGGCGTTCTTGCCTCAGTGAAAGAACACAATGGACCTTTTTGCGGGTCGAGGTTCTCGGTTGTGCAAAGTTGCATTTGTTTAAATGCAAGTTACATGCTGTTTTCGTCCATGTTTTGCCTATGTCTAGTCTATATCCAAACGATTCCATACGATCGGAAGACTTACCGATCTTGGGCAGATCAGAAATGGGACGAAACTCTGCAGCGTCCGGCTGTACCCTCCGTGGTGCCACAGAAAGGTTTGGAAGATCCTAGATCGTATATTATAAAAAGGGTAAATATCTGAAGGATCTTGGTCCGTGTGTTTTTGCTCTTGGAACATCTTGGAACCACAGGCGAGCTGATCACAGGAAGTTCCCTCCAGTACTCGCTGTGAACGCCATGAGGTCGGATGAAATGCGATTAATAAAGTTAATCTTAAGCATTTTTTTGTTTTGGACCAAATGAGTTTTGGCAATTGTTCACACCAGCCAGGCCCATGAGGGAAAGCACGGAATCCGTTTTTCCGTGCCTCATCCGTGAAACCGATCCAGGTGGCTGGACTTGTAGGGATCCTTCCACTCATCCAAGACCTCGATCGTTCACAGCACCAAGAGTTGGATTGACATGTGGCTGTCCCGACATTGGCAGGCTGTGTGGCACCCAACCGTCAAGTCCGGGTGTCGCAAATTCACTATGGCAAGCCGGCTGGTTGTCTGTGGCCATGGCTATGGCGCCAGTGACGAATGGATCCGGATCCGGTCTCTTGGGTCCCCACCCGCTGGAACTTCTGCCAGGTGAAGACCGCATAGGAGATCACCGAGGCCTCACAGCCAGTGTCAACACTAAGCCCCCAAAGAAGCTACTAGTAACAAGCAAGGGCATCGCTACTAGTAACATCTAGTAACAAGTAACAAGGGCATGACTACCAGCAAGAAGCTATTAGTCACCACCTACCTTTGTCACTCTTGTCGAAGCCCTCTCCCTTCATCTCCCTTGACACAAGTACCTGATCTCTGGCGGTTCGAATCGCTCGGCCTCCAAGCGTTCCAGATCCACCTTGAAGTTCCGCAGCCGCTCGTCCTGCAGGATCACGAGCCATTCGAGGAGACTGGGGGGGCTGGAATTGTCCAGGGCTTGCGCCGTGCCCTGCTGCGCTACAAGCCCGGAGCGACCACACAGTCTGCCTGGCTCACCCACCATCCACAAGCAGCTCCTCCAACTCCTTTAGGACAAAGCGAGAAGGAGTGTTCAGGCAGGTGAGCATGGTCAAATCCATGTTCTCCAGCTTTTCCAGAAAGCACGACTTCGCATACCTTACAGTCAGCCAACGAGTTGGCCGATAACGACTGGCCCACCCCTTCAGAACAAGTTCATCCAATTCTTGTATCCAGGAAATCATTCGCTTTCATTGTCCAGGTTGTTGGGTCTTCAGGCTCTGGAGTGGTAGCAACAAATATGACACACCGCCATTAATCATTCACGGTGTTAATGTTTATTCAGGCTTTGAAGTGGTAGCAAAAAAAATGACAGACCATTCATGGGTCGAGTCGATCTTATAAAAGGGCTGGTCCATTCAATATGCCTGGCTAAACTCGGGGCCAAACAGGCTCGGCCAAAGCGCTGCGATTGAAATCTGGCATGCCAATTCCTGGTTTCAGAACATAGAGCATGGATGGAGTTCGAGGATCATATTTATTATTTGTGTGTGTGTGACATGTAAATTGTATAATTGTATACTTGTATGTCCATACATATACATATATATATATATGCACACAGTCGTCACTCATAATCGGAAGAAAGTTCGAAGCTGCCAAACACGCCGCGTTTCCTACGGTCTGGTGACCCTTGTTCTTTCATGCGACAGTGGGTCTAAGGGACACTGAGACCTCGCAGCGTCCCAGGAGGAATTGGGAGTCAGGGCTATCCTCGGCAATGACCTGCTTTGGCTCCTGGAGATCAAAGTTCTTCAGGTGCTCCCAATGAGTGGTTGTTCAAGAAAACAACTGTGTCAAAACAGCCCTTCTTCAGCAAATGGAGTCCATGCATGACATGTGACGAACGATCTGTATTCTGTTCATCTGCTGCAAGCACCCCGTGAGTTCCGCAGCACAACTCAAGAATGATCTTTTAAATCTTGCAGGCAAGAAAGCAAGCACAAAAAGCTCGCAGCTTTCAAAATAATACGACAATCATCTCAAGAAAATCAATCAGAAAGTTCCAGAAGCCACTATGCATATATACACATACATATACGTATTATTTCTACATACAAACATGAACCATCATGAACCGCTTTGTGCATTTCTTCACCAAGTCAATGTCCTCCACCACCGCAATGAGGTCGAGGTCTTTCGGCCGATGATTCCCGAAGATCGTGGAGCCGTGCACATAGAGTCCCACGCACACGCCTCGGCTCCGTCGGTGCGATTCACTGCCCCAAGGAGTCACCCTGTTTTTGTGTTTTATCCACTCAGTCAGTGCTGCAATATCAATAAGCCCGGAAGGGGTATTGCATACACTTTTCCACACTCGAAAGAGCTTGCACCCAAAATACATGGAAGTCGTTGCCATCTACAGTATGTGGTGTGTGTGTGTGCTTTTTCTTAAGCCCGCTATCATCTATATATATATATATGAGTTAACTTTGAGATACCAAGGTGAACTTGTCTGAGAGTAGTTGAACACAGGTACAGGGTTTACTGCTGTTTTATGGGGTGATATGAGGAGCCCCGTCCATGTGCTTCCCGATTTGTCCAATCATTTTGTAAGGTCATCATAGTGTCATAGTGGAAATCAGCGCAGCACGCGAAGCAACTTCTGTGCCTGACTCTGACTTAACAGAACTGAACGTAAAAACCTATAATACTATAATAGACAAGCATTTCTCCCAAATATCGGGTTTCCCACCTTTGTCCCACCTATGCAAAAAGTATAGGGTCAAGGATGGATTTACTATGATTTATATACTAATTCTTAAATGGACACCCTTCCCATTCCTCACCACATCCATCTGTCCAGAAACCGCCGTTTTGCAACTGACAAGCTTGGTGTCCCAGTTCAATGGCGGTCCTTCTACTCCGAGGATCTCCCGAACTTGCCGAATGAACTGGGGGGGAAGAGTCTGGTAGAGATCATCCTGGAAAGAGACAATGTATTACAAAACATATCATAGCATTTAAGGATATAGAAAGGTTTATACCAAAGTAATCCATAGTATATAGTCTCATCATCTCATATCATTGTATATCATTGTCATGTCTGTGTGTTGCATCCAGTGGCTTATGGACCCAAATCATCTTGAGTCCCAACCGCGACCGAGTTTCATCACCCTAACTTGCCACACAACCTGCTTTGCCGTCTGAGCATCCCCATTTTTCTTCCAGCTCTCGATAGATTTCCTCCAGTTCCTCCTCTGCGATCACCGGCTCTGGTACGTCTTGAGTTTCCTCTTCGGGCTCGTGCTGAGGGCTCTCATGGCCCAAGCCTAGCTGCGAAGCCCAAGCAAATCTGGGCTCAAAATGTTGAAACCAAAACCACGACTCTCTGGCTCAACTGCTTTGTGGACTCGTTTTGATCAAAACCGCTGGGCAGGTTTGTGCTGTATAGCTGCACCCGAAAGGGGTGACCGTGTCTTGGAATGCTCAAAACAAGACGCACCATTGGAACCTGAAACTCGATTTGCGGAGGACAACGCCCTCGTCCAGTCAAGAAGATTCCAAATAAAGAATTAGGACTGCAACTGCAACCGTGAGTGCATTGAACAGGGATAAACATCCATCAAGATCATCTCGTACTTCTCTGACTCGTCCTCTGCCAGGACACCACTGCTCGTCTCCACACTGTAGAAGCTCTCCGTCGACTCTCCCGCATCACTCCCTGGCTTAGACATCGCACCAAAGCCACTGTTTGTGACAGGCGATCTCTTCTTTGAGCCTGAAGCAGCTACTACACCTAGGTCTACGGGCTGGCGCAAAGAGAACGGACTGGTTCTTGAATGGAGCAACCCTATTTGTATCGGAAGAATTCGCAAGAGTCAAAAATATCCGAAATACCTGAAAGCGGTCATCTACCATGGGCCTTACTAGGATGGTGGATACCATAAAAGAATTCCCATATACTGCTATCGCATGCAATCGCCAGATCAAAGAAGTCCGCAAAACAACAAAAACATCTAAACCTCTGAGACCCTGAAATGTCGGTGTTCAGCCCGTCCAGCCAAGGGTTAGCACAAATGTCGGTGCGTGGCCAGGGCTGAATGAAACACTTCCGGTCTGGTTCAAACCCTTTCTTGAACTGCTAGTCATAGGCGATAAAGAGTTGGCAGGAGGCCAGGGAGCCATGCCGATTGCATGTTTTACCGACAAACGTTAACACCTTGGGGGGGCTGACGTTGTTTACCATGGCATTAGGGGTGCCACCAATCATCTAAGCTGTGCGGTGCTGGCACATCCTTGCTGCTCTTGAGTTAAGATATGTTGTGCCAATCAAGCTTTCTGTGATCCTTTGCTTTCGTCCGTGCTCTGGTTTTGGCTCATTGTAATGAGTCCAAAGTCTTAACTGTAACTGTATATCTTGTCGTTTCCTTGGTCACCTCAACTGGATCTTCAGTCAACCCCTCTCAGCGGTTCGAACGAACACCTGCCTTGAAAGGTCTCCAGCCCAGGGCCGGCACACGCTCACTGTCAGTTCGGAGGCCTGGGAGATCCGAACACGTTCGCACCCGGCAGCTTCATTCCTACCCCAGAAACGACCACAAGAACTGTGGAAAAGCCGGCATTCTAGAGCACAATAATGTTCAAGCGTTTTTGGCATACGTAAATAGAAGGTGGGTTGCTCAAACAGGGTAACACGAACAAAGACTTTGTGTGGCCTCATCTTGACTCATGACCTATTTTGGGCAGTCTCCTCCCGGCAAAACACCGCATCCAGGGAACAAAAACAGAGCTAAGCTTGAGCAAGGTTATTCTACTTAGTGAAACCCAGTCATCCGCAGCTTACTTGCGCCCGCTCCGCCAGCCGGTTCTGGCGCCCCCGCCGTAGTAAGGCCGGCGATTCACTCCAATGAGCCAGCCCAGTCCTGGGCATCGTACAACCGCGGTACCACCCGAACTGGGCAAACTCCTGGGGCCAAGCAGTACCGTCTGGGGCCATACATTTCATGAGTGAATATGTTGTGATCGTTTGTGTGTTGTGGAGGGGTGCTTGGGCGCTTCTGAGACATGCTGCACATGATTGAAATGGTTCCCTTGATCCCTGATTCTACGATGTGTGACTTAAAAAAGAACAGCACACTGAAAACATCTGAAAGCCCATAGCAATCGCCTGTCAAAACACTGGGTCTCTCCACGAGACACGTCTAAAAACGTCAAACGACACTATAATTCTATAATATTCTATAGCTATTCCAAAAAGAAATACACACGACCTATATAGATATTCTTTCCCTTGAAACACCATATCCACAGCACTTTTTGAGGGGTTAACGCTTAAGCCGCTTAGCCATTGACTTCAATTGGGGTGGAAGGTTTGCCGTTTCCCAAGCGCCGTTTCCCAACAAAGCTCCGCCGGCTCCGTCGCTGAGCCCCGCGACGAGCCCCGTGAGGTTCCCTCGCCAGCAGCGTGGTGCTCAGGGCCAGATGCCTCGGTCGTTGGTCGATGCCTCGCTCCGAGCGGTCGAGTACCTAGTAAGGCCAGGAGCCCCGTTCGTAGCTTCTTGTTCCTAGTCAAATGTCAAAAGCACATAGATTCGTTCTTCACCATCGTTGGCTTGTTGGGGAGCAGGACTGTAAGTAAGCAGCTCTCACTTGTAGGTGCGGAATAAGAAGCTCCATCAGAAAAGAATATGTCTAGGGCGAAAGAACACGCAGCACAAAGAGAAACCACATACTGAAATACCACGATGTTGATTTGACACTCGTTACATATCACTTAACCGATATAACGACCATTTACAGTAATTACCTAACCTCTGACCTTCCACCCATCCGTTCTTCCAGCCCCTCATCCCACATCAGAACCGCCGCACTCACGGGGCGTCCGGGCCGAAAGATCTGGGCGCCATGGGCAGCGACTTTGGTGTCTTCGTACAGTCCATTCACCTGGCGCGGAATCCGCGCGGGTCCCCGAAACTTCTGGAGTGGCAGAAAGACAGCGGTGGGTAGGTGATTTGTGACCCGTACAAGGGGAAGATTGGGATGTAATAAAAACATGTTGGGATGGTGAGGTGAGGTGCTGGGAGTTTGAGTTTGTTCAAGAATATGCAACATTTTGCAGGTACACTACTGTAAGGTCTGAAGGTTTGAGATGCCCTTGAAGTGGACATATGCATGTTTGTTGCATTATTATATTGTGACACACTCTCATCAAAGGCTCAAAACCAACAACACACAAACACTACAGTGACCCATGTATAAAGTCTGATTCAGTGTTTTTGTGTCATTTCTACATCCAACACCATGCTCAGCCATGCTCAGCCTGGCACCGCGCCTCCTCAGAGCCAGCACCATAGACGGCCACAGCCTCGAAGGGCAACGCCTGAGCCAGGACGCACGTCGGTGGGGCCGGAGGAAGTACGCTTTTGGACGCCGGGTGAAGACCCGGAAGAGCCGTGGTGGAGCGGCTTAGCCGCTCTTGATCAAACATGATAGACCCACACCATGTTCCAGGTTCACCTGAAACCCAGGACCCAGTCACTCGCTTGAAATAAACACGGAACAAAATGGTGTACCACCATCGATATTCCACTGTCTGCGGTAGCTTGGCATGTGAGCAGGACACCCATGTCCTTCCAAGCCCCAACTAGGGAGGTTTTACATAAGTTTTACGGCTTGAATAACGAATCAATATGACACCTGTCATGATCCGACTCTACAAGCCACATTGACATACTGTTTGGACACCTGGAAGAAGGGAACCCGTTCTTCGGCTCTGGTAGAGACAGCAGAAATGGATCTTTTCTGGGTCCTTTGAATTCTTTGGAGGTGTCCTTTCGGCTGCCGATCTTTTCCCCCATCCGTCAACCGAGGCACTGCTTCCAGCTCCTCGAACTCAAACATGCCTCGGTCTCAAAGGCCTCCAAGGGCAGGTCAGGTAGGGCGATGGCCTCCACCCAAATAGGGATGGCCTCCACCCTAGTAGCGATGGCCACCAAAGGGTTCTCTATTCTCGTTCGACCTCTTGGAACCTCTCGGGATCGACAAGCGACCCTGGTGGCCAGGGGAGCACTCTTCCGTCGAGAGCACCTGCATCCCATGTCTTTACCCTTCGGTTGACGGTAGATTGGCCTTCGATTTTCAGCGCTCCAGTACTGCAAACAGCACTCCATACTCGATGCGGAAAAATGCTATGGGGATCACCGGGATCACAGTGAACATCACAGTGATGCATGCACGGTGTTTTCTCTGTGTGTTCTGTTTGAACGGTATCAGCACAGGAACTTGGCAGCGACCTCTTCCCAGGAACTTGGCAGCGAAGATCGGCACACTGCATGGAAACGGGGCTCACTTTGTTGTTCCTAATAGCTTCTTGTTCCTAGTGGCGATGCCCTTTGCTACACGTCCTTGCTCCTAGTAGCGATGCCAGGAGCCCCTAGTAGCGAACCTTGTTCCTAGTAGCATCAATGACTTGGCTGTGGGTCAAAGCCAGGAGACCGTGGTTGACCTACCGACGGACGTGGCTTGCGCTCCTGTCTGACGCTTACCGACAGCCCTTCACCTTACGGTGGGCACTGGGGAGTTGCGGTATGTATCAAAACGTGCACAAACAGCTGTACAAACGGCAAATATCTCTAAGTGAAACCGAATGTCGCCGCGGCATAGGGTAAACCAGAGAAAAGAAGCATCTATAATTCGGAGGAGGGGGGTATCGGAACTGAGTCAAGATCTCCATTTTTAGCCCACATTTTCCGCAGATTCCGGCGATAAAGGAAGCACTGCTCATAGGTCAAAGGAATGGCCTCCACCGGAAAATGTAGCTTGACATGCTGCATGGGAACCAATCCGTCTGGATGGAATGGTGGTTTACATTTGAGATCTGTTACATATTGGTTGAGAGTTTGCTGGACAGCCACGGCATTTGGAAATTGTAGTCGAGTAGCGAAGCCACCTGTGTATGTACGCCCCCCACCCTGACATGGTGAGGCTAGGTCAACCACCGACATCACTTGCGCTCGTGTCTGACGCTTCCCACAGACCTTCACCTTGTGGTGGGTTCCGGGGAGTACTGGTATAACCCAAATGTAGAACATGCGAAGTAAACTGTACAGAAATACGACGATCTAAGATCTAAGTGGTTGACCTACCCAGAAGGTCAAGCTACCTCCACGCTTACCGTGCTTACCCACTCTGGGCATTCCGACGCTGGCATTCAGCGGAGCACCATGACTCGGTCCCGACTTGCTGAGGTGATGCGAATGGGATCAGTTCGGTGCGTCTGGTGGTGTTTGCTGGTTGAGGCTTTTGGGCCCGGCGCAGGTTCAATCGGCAGGACACACCGACCAATGACTTCAATGCATCCAATGTGCAATGTGTTTTGATCTTTTTGGCTCCATTTGGTCTTTAGTCTTTAGTAATCTTTGGTGCAAACTATGGATGGTTGGGTACTGTGCTGTTAAGGCTGAAATACGTGGTGCCAAGTCCTTTCCAGGTTCATGATGTGCGCTTATTCAGCTTAAGTTACGAGCCGAGCATGGCCAGCAGAAGGCGACAAGCATCGTTTTAATCCCACACAAGGAGCCCCAGTAAAGTGTGGGGAGTTGGTTGTTGCTGGTTAGGCCCTTGGATGTTTAAGCAAACTCTTGGGATATGGTCAGCAAGAGCTCTCCTTTGGGTCCTGGATGAGCTTCTGTGCTCCGGTCAGCAACAAACTGACTCCATTGCCCGGGCATCTTCCAACACCGGTCTTCCAGCATCTTCCAACAAACACCCTCATCTAGTCGGGGAGGCAACGACTGCGGCGTCGCGGCGTCCTTCAGCCTCTTCCATTTCGCAGACAGCTCGGCACGGCGTTTCTTCTCCTGCCCCAAATCAGTTCACCGATGCACTTTGCTCCTAGTAGCTTCTTGCTCCTAGTAGTAAGGGGCCAGGAGCCCCTAGTAGCGTCCTTGCTCGTAGTAGCGATGGACATTCGTGGCGTTTTGCATGGTACCAGTACTGGTAGATTCGGAGCCCATCTGCAAGTAAAAGCTTTGTAATACATGTTTGTACCATCAGTACATATAATATGACATATATCGGCACCATCGAATCTACTCCAAACTGTCTAACCCATTCAAAACCCATTGTTTAGGTGGATGTCTCTATACCTTCGATCATTACCAGTGCAGTGTTTCGCACCTGCCTCTTCCAACTTCTTGGTCAACTGGACCCGCTCAGACTGAAGTTTGACCACCTGAAACACTCACATCAGGACATTGAGTCGATTTAGGGTCGCTCTGGTGAGATGGGACCTTGAGATTCGTGACAAAATGCGATGGCCTCCAACCTAACGTGCTTGACTAAGCATAAACTTCCGGCGACAGATTTTCCACCCAGTTCGGGACCTCGTTCTGTATCTTTGACAGCTGTTTCCGGAGGTCCTGGCGGTTTGCGCGAGTTCGAGGAAGGTTTGGATTGGTTGCAGGAGTGCGGCAGTGGTACCAAAACCGGACGTGCTTGACTCTTCAGGTGGCAAATGTTGGAAGAGAATGATACTGTGTGAAAAGTTTGAAGCGTATTGAAGTGTATTTATCTATGGTGAGATATAGCAAAATAAAGTTATATACATAGTAAGATTAAGATCTATAAAGCAAAATTGAGTAACCTCAACCTGTTTAGGCCAAGCTTTTGTGTTCAGGTCGCAATCTATGATTTTTGGCAAAACGTCGTGCAACTGTTGGACCAGTTCATTCTTTCGTGCAAAACGTCGTGCAGTGAACGAATCGAAAGGTCGATCCAAAATCAGGTGTCACGCATTTTCACGTGGTGTCTGAGCAACTCCCCGAATCAGCGCAAAGCCCGGAAGGAGAAAATTGAGTAGCGCTTGGACTAGAATACCAGAAATCTGATAAACCTTGCGATCAAACGAGAATCCCCTAAGATGTCATAAGGGCTTATAAAGCATTACTTTATGTTATTTTATATTAGTATGCAGCACATCGCAATATCCTTAGAGCACTCCTGCGGGCATTTGACTGGGGATGATTGATGATAGGATCGGCAAACAATGTCAATCAAGGTGTGTCCATCTTTTCAAGCGATACGGAGCCCTTCTGTGTACATGGTCTGGCTCGACATGAGAATAGGGTGCAAACTGTCAAAACCAATTGGGCATTTAAGCAAGAAATGTTTCCTCTATAATATATAGACTGAGAGAGATATACATACATGATCGTTTCATACTTTGGTTCAGGTTTTGACAGTGCACGAAGATTGGAGCAGCTTTGAGATGTGACTGTCATCAATCCAGCTGAGAAACAATGAGAAACAAAACTGAGCATGACACTCGCATCAAGACTGAACATTGTGATGCAGGAGTCTCACGGAATCTGTACAAGAGAGTCGTGTCTCTAAACGCATGCATTGTATGCAAAGGAATTCGGTGGTTCTGTGACCAAATGGAACGACAACTTGTTCAAACGCATTTTGCTAAAGTTGATCAAACGACAGCCATCTTCTCTGGCACTTCAGTGTATTGGGCAATGATCTCCCGAAGCCTGTCCCCAGTGATGGTTTCCATCTCGCAAAGCTCCTCAGCCACCTTGTCCAAGCAATCTCGGCGCGTCTCCAGCAGATTCCATGCTGTGAGGAAGCACTCATCCGAGATGTTCTTGATGGCACCTGGTGACCACGAGGAATGATTGTCAAGCTCGTATCCAACTTGCATCAACATCCTATGTCACAAGACAATATCGGACACACGCAAGCACGCAAAGCGGTGGCGTGTTTTTACCATGCTGGAGTGATTCCACGCACAGCAAGGGTCTGGCGAGGCACTGTCAATCTTTGAGTTCAAATCCTCTGAATAGTTGGGCCCACCGAAGCCTCCGTCATCGATGGCAATGGAACCCACCTCCTTAGATCCAAGAGAACACTCTTCAGTCTTCATTCTTTGGAGCCTCATATATATTATAAATCTGATTCACACAGGAACAAGGCCCGAGTCTGAGGGAATTCCTTTGAATTCCGATGACCCCCTTGAAAACTTCCCTATTATACCGAGCATCAGACATGCCAAACTGGGTGACCATGGCTCGAGCCATGCGCTCCACCTGCTGCAGGTCTCCCCCAGCCCCAGTGGTCACCTGGGAGCTTCCGAAGACCAACTGCTCAGCCACACGGCCACCCAAAGCTCCAGCAATGCGCGCCTAGCAAGTCTGGCATGTGGCCGGGCAAAGCGGAAACCTACCACCTCAAAAGATTGAAGATGATTGAAGTCATGTGAAAGCGTGTTGAATCCGCCTTCAGCATGGCTGCAGAGATGAGGCTCTGATCTTCTCCAGGTGTAAACCAGGTCAAACCCTTCGCCTGACCACGGGGAATCACCGTCACCTTGTTCACGGGGTCGTGATGGGGCAGCAAAGATCCGACGATGGCATGACCTCACAAAAAACAATGGACTCAGCATGACACGGCTGCTGTACAGCATGTCGATATTTTTTAATTGTTCATTTCATTAACTTCGCTTGAGAGTCTGAGAGATTGTTGAGAAAATGTGGCCGTCTGTCAGTCAGCTGTTGTCATGTACACCCTGCAACAGCTTGCCTGCTTCATGGTATGCAATGAGCTTCTTGGAAGCATTGTCGTTCAAAGCACGCCCTTCAAGGCCAGCAATGACGCGATCTGTGGCATCATTGATCTCGTCCATGGTTACAGCGTTCTTGTTGCGTCGAGCTGCCAGGATAGCGGATTCGTTCATCAAATTTTCCAAGTCAGCACCACTGAAACCGGCAGTTCGCTTGGCAATCTCTGTCAAGGTGATTCCCTGCAAACAGTTTGGGCATCTGTGTATATATTATGTCGCGTTGAAGATATAAAGATAACTAACCAAAGGCAAATCATATGTTTACCGTATCATCCCAAAACATCCCAAACCAAACAATAAGTACCTGCAAACATTATCGAATGACATTTGCGTCTCAAATTGTGTCATGAATGTCATGTTACGGTGTATTTGAGTTGTGGTGCCACAATGTGGGTGTGTGTGTGCACTTCATCGGCTGAATCACTTCCACCCAGTCGCCTCAGCAAGTTTTTTATTTCGAATGTGCACTTCCAAGATCTGTTCTCGGCCCTTCACATCCGGCAAACCCACTGTGACTCGGCGGTCAAATCGCCCAGGTCGAAGCAAGGCATTGTCCAGGATGTCAGAGCGGTTGGTGGCCGCCACGACGATGACACCGCTGTTGCCCTCGAAACCATCCATCTCCTTGGTTGGAAGTCCCCAGATCCCGCAGTGCCAACACCAGCACAGGAGACAACAAATCTAAATGAATTGCAGTATGTTTAGCACTGTTTAGATTTGACAAGTCTCAGTCAGGATCTGATTCAGGGTCTGCTCACGCTCATCATTTCCACCTCCCATGCCAGCACCACGCTGCCGGCCAATAGCATCAATCTCATCGATGAAAACGATGCAGGGAGCCTTCTCCTCTCAACTCTTGCAAGTGACAAGGTGTATTGGTGAGGTTCAAAATCCCCAAACAGCGTGTCTGAGGTCAAGAGGTGTAGCAGCAGAAAGCCTAGAAATCTAGACGCGTGGAGATCGTGGTGAGTGAGTGAGTGAGTGAGTGAGTGAGTGAGTGAGTGAGTGAGTGAGTGAGTGAGTGAGTGAGAGCGTGGGTGAGTGAGTGAGTGGGTGGGTGGGTGAGTGGGTGAGTAGGTGAGTGGGTGAGTGGGTGAGTGGGTGGGTGGGTGGGTGGGTGAGTGGGTGAGCGGGTGAGCGGGTGAGCGGGTGAGAGAGCGTGCGAGCGTGAGAGTGAGAGTGTGGGTGAGCGTGAGAGTGAGAGTGAGAGTGAGAGTGAGAGTGAGAGTGAGAGAGAGTGAGAGTGAGAGTGAGAGTGTGAGAGGGTGAGAGTGAGAGTGAGAGTGAGAGTGGGAGAGTGAGTGAGAGTGAGTGAGAGTGTGAGCGTGAGTGAGAGTGAGTGTGAATGTGAGCGCGAGCCTGAGCGTGTGTGAGTGAGAATGGGGAGAGAGAGAGAGAGTGAGGGTGAGCATCTGAGCACAAAGTGCTGCGCCTGCCATGAAATCTGCGCTTTGAGGTTGACAAAGTGCTGCGCCTGCCACGGAATCTGCACTTTGGAGTTCACAAAGTGCTGTGCCTGCTACGAAATCTGCACTTCGAGGCTCACAAGCTGCTGCGACTGCGACGACTTGTGCACTTCAAGGTTCACAAAGCGCTGTGCCTGCCACAAAATCTGCACTTCGAGGTTCACAAAGTGCTGCGCCTGCCACAAAATCTGCACGTCGAGAATCTGCACTTCGAGGTTCACAACGTGCTGTGGCTGCCACGAACTCTGCAAACGAGCCACATGTCCAAAAGTCACGACTCACTGCACCTGTCACGAAATCAGAGCGCCTCGAAGATCACCGCCATGTCCAAAGTGCTGCACCTGCCACGAAATCTGCATTTCGAAGTAAGGCCGCTCCGATCCCAAAGTCGATTTTGGACCACAAAAACACGAGGTTTCCCTTGTGCCTGCCACGAAAAGTGACCACCATGTTCGAAAATGCGCACGGCACCGCGGACAAGCAGATTCTGCGAGCCTGCGCAGTCGAAATGCACTTGGAGGATTTCGAGAGGCATGAATGCATTGTAAACAGCGGCGAATTAGCCGGACACGTCGGTGCAACACCTCGATTAGACACCGGTGCTTGACCACTACCGTAAGAACCCCTAGTGTGTCCACACTGTTTGGGGAACTTAGGATATCCTCAGGATCACAATCAAAGTACGAGTTTTATATGATCTAAACATGTTAAGTTATGTTAGGCTCATATCGTCCAAGGAAGTCGAGTAGAAAATGCTTTCAAAAGCCACCGGTATTGGTTTTGTGATCTTCCAGATCTTTCCCACATACACCAAACTCCAGCCCTGACGATATGCCTGGGCTCCTTGGCCTGCTTGAAGATATCTCTTACACGAGAGGCCCCTACGCCCACGAAAAGCTCGATGAATTCCGAGGCGGAGGATTGGATGAAGGGCACGCCAGCTTCGCCTTTTCTCGACTGGTCACAATGACTCGGCCAATTGATGCAGGGTTGACTGATGGTATATATATATATATTTAACAATACATCATATATCATCATATATCATCCATTGATGACTATGTAATCACGGTCACTTTCCCAATAGTGCATTGTTTCTGTTTAGGATTGTTGAGGTATGTCAGAATCAACTACAGATCAGACTGTAACCGACAAATTGTCAATCGGAAGCTTGAGTCATAGCCCTCTTCGTCACGTCACCAGCCAATGCTTTGGCCATGAGCGTCTTCCCAGTGCCCGGCGGACCAGTAAGCAAAACGCCACGTGGGATCTTGGCTCCGACCTTCACAAAACGCTCAGGAGCCTTCAAGAAGTCAACAATCTCAGTGAGCTCCTGAAACAAGATCAGCTTTCTCAATCAACTGGCAATTCAATATTATATTATCATTTATCATTATTATTATTATGATTATATATTGTATGCATAGGAGGAAATGCCGTAGAATCTGGACATCTGCCTGTATTCCAGAGAACTTGCCCGACTGTATCAACAAATGTCAAAAAAAGAAAACATGAAACACATTCAAAAAATGATACAGAATTCCCAACACATTCGAAGATTACATCTCCTCCTTTGCCTCATCAATTCCGGCAACGTTCTCAAACTTCACTCCGGTGTCGGGGGAAATCATAATTTGTGCCTGGAAGGGGTGCACCCTGATTCGCACGGGTAACACAGTTCAACAGGAGCATCGCATGGCTTTTGAACCCCGACACAATACAAATACCATGGCACCATCTCTTGCGTGGAAGAAATGTTGCGTGAGACGGAGTAGTTATGATAATCATGATATTGTTTAACATGATGATTGATCCAAAATGAGGAAAATATATTAAAATCATAACATATACTGTAACGACATCTGACAAGATCTGGCCTTTCCCTGATTGCCAAGCCCTGGGATGCCACCAGAACCAGGGTTCCTTGATCGCAAGAACAGCAAACCTGCGATGGTCAGCAAAGGCAATGCCGCATTGGCCAAGGCGCCGAAGAGTGGGTTTGGCTTCTCCTGGCTTCTCGAAGCGAGTCGTGGATCGTTGAACGAAAAAAAAGGTCGTTCAACACTGGTGGGAACATTGGAAAACCTCCCATGTTCATCATCTGGCTGAGATTGAAAACACGTGGACCAGGGAAGTGCTTGCCACTCCCAATGCAGAAGGTCACCATAGCAAAAGGAACACCGTCTCACTAGTCACTAGCCCAGCTTATGCTCGGTACGTCAGTTTCACACCTAAACACGAACTCAAGGGCAGTTTATTCTAAGTCTCCGGTTGGTGCACATCAATGGCAACATTCTTCTTCACGAGCTTGTCAATGACCCCTGTGCTGGCACCAGGCAAATCGCAAATCAGCTGCTGCTCACGACCAGCAATGTTCACGGAGGCAACAGCAGTGCGGCCCATGTCATACATGTCGACGCGCTTCACGGCCCCGTCCTCAAGGGGAAAGTGAGCATGAAGGGGAGTTACCAACATCTTCTCCACTGCCTAATGCAAGCCAAGTAATTCTACGCATGCAAGGTACACGGTACCCTATACAGACGAGATTGCAGCAGTAGAGGACATCTTGCTGTGTATTTATGCGACTTCATTCTCGCGCGCAATGAAACCCCATATTGCGGATGTGTTTTTGATGTGATTACTATGTGGCCTCATATGTGCCCTTCTCCTCCACAAATTCCAAGAATCGAGAATAGGTGACACGGCCTGTAGCTTGCGTTGGCGTGGCCATCTGAGTCATGGGCTGTGGGATGCTCTGCGGCACTGCCAGGTCATCCGCAATTGCCACAGATGGCCCTGCCATAGCGGCCAAAGAGACCAAGGTCTGCACCGCTGCAGTTCGGACCACCTGGCTTGGCAACGCCGAGCCATTGGAGACATCCTGAGGGCATCTCAAGGGAATGACTTGGTGAAGTGCAAAGTTGAAATTGAAGAAAAACACAGTTGTCAGGTCACAAACATCACTGAACAAGTCCAAGGCTCAGCTGCCATTCGCTCAACCTCCTCTAGAACCTTCTCACTGGTCACAATCTTCTCATCACCCGCTAGCCCCAGTCGGGCAATGGCGTTGCGCGCAGCCGCGCGGTCATGGCGGGAGCGGAGGGTAGAACCACAGAAGCCCTTTGGCATTGAAGCCATGGAGGTCATTGATGGAATGCACTTGCCTGGTCGTGATACAAAGAACATCAAATTCAGCATGTCAGCATGTCAGCATGTCAAATTTGCTCAATTGCATGCTTGGACATGGTCAGTTTTTTGGATACCCCTGACTCCCATCAGCTCGTTTCCGAATCCAAGCTGCTGGGGAGCTTGGAATCGGACGATTTGGAAGCGTCCACCTTCTCACCGGTGAATGCAGCAAAGGCCATCTGCTTGTTAGCCACAGCCAACTTCCCCTCAATCGCAGCTCTGTTGATGAGCTTCACAAGCTCTTCACCACTGACCTTCTCTTGCTCCAAAAGTAGCTTGGCCAACTCATCCAGCAGAAACATGTTGTCTCTCAAGAGCTTCATACCGCGCTGGTACTGTTCATCCACAATACGTTTCACTTCGTCATCCACCTGACAGAGATCTCTTGAACATCTTCAAAATATTGTTGCATGGAAAATGGTTGCTTGAACGTGGTCTGGCAGCGGCCAGTGGCAAGACTTCCTATGTTAGAGGGCAAGTCCGCCCAAGCCTGCCTGTTGCTTCAATGCTTGGGACATAGGCGGTGCGCCTTGACCCATGAAATCGCGGCCCATGAAAGGTCCACCTTGCTGGCCTCCCAGTTGCCGCTGGCCGATGACAGGAGACATGCCCAGCTGCATGACCATCTGTTTGGCCACCTGGGTGCCTTGGTTCCAAGCTGACACTCAGTGACGGATCGGGGGGGGAAGAAATTCATAGATTCAATTGATGAGATCATGTTATCCTGAACCACCCTGGAATCGAATGGTATCAAACATCGCCAAGTAGCATTGCTGGAAGTCGTTGGATGCTCCAGTTGTCACGTTGTCCTTGCCATTGACGATCTCTTCAGCCAAGCGCCCACCCAGCGCCACGCACATGCGATTCTCCAGGAATTCCTTGGAATAAAGGCCTGACAAGGGTGAGTTCAAAGTCAAAATGGTTCAAACAAAAAGTCTCCCTGTGAATGGGTCACCAATCACCAATGAAATCTCGGCCGAAGGGATGGGAGGCCAGACGAGGGCAGAAAATCTGAAAGCATCTCACAGGAAACGACGAGCCCTTTGTTCCCAGTAGCTTCTTGCTCCTAGTAGCAAGGCCAGGAGCCCCTAGTAGCGTCCTTGCTCCTAGTAGCGATGCCAGGAGCCGCTAGTAGCTTCTTGTTCCTAGTAAAATGCCCACGTCGTTGTTTTACATTGATATATTCGGGTGGGATTCTAGGGACTTTGCCTGAGTTCAAGCGCTCTTCAGAAGGCATGAAGATCGTGACGCCACCCGCTGGTCCACGTGGCACGATGCTAATCTTGGCGACTGCATCATAGTCATTCACCAAAGCACCCAAAATGGCGTGACCGGCTTCATGGTAAGCAACGAGTCTCCTCCTCTGCTCTGACATCACTGCATCCTTTCTCTCCAAGCCCAATGCAATGCGTTCGAGCGCGTTGAAGATATCATCAGAGTCGATCTCAGACTTGTTCTGTCTTGCAGCCACAATGGCTCCTTCATTCAAAAGATTGGCCAGATCAGCACCGGACATCCCTCGGCTTCATTTGGTGGAGATGTTGCAATGCAACCGGACATCTCGCGATTCTTCCAGTCGGATACGTATAGATGCTGATAACAAATGTCTAAATGTATATATAAAAATTTAAAAGTCCCTTGATTTCGATAAAAAGAAGGGAAGTGCCACTGAAAAGGTTTGCTTCCTAAGGTCAAACCCCTGAAGTTGCACTGGCTCACGCCGTCTCAAGAGGGTCGTAGGTCGCCTGAGAGGTGTTAAAAAGGACAAGTGATGCCAAGTGTCCAGGTGTTTGCTTCGCAATCGCTGAGAGATCAATGCCAGGAGCTAGGTTCTTCCCCTTGGCATGGACCTTGAGGATCTCCAAGCGGCCTTGGACATCGGGAGGGTCCACCTCACCAGGGATAAATCTTCACCTGCATGAACCTGCGACTTTGCACCATGGAGCAAGAGCGAGTGAAATATGGAGCCGGATTTATGGAACCGGATTTATCATGCTTTAGATCATGCTTTATTAATCAAATCACAGTTGAAGCCTGAACTACTTCTTTTGACAAAACGGTCGTGCTGGGCTCAATTCTCGATACCTCACCTGGATCTGTCGATCAAAGCGACCTGCCAGCAATTGAAACAAATGCATGCAGCATGCATATTCGGGAGAAAACACATCAGATCGGTTACATTTACAACCTGAGGTCGTGCAACAAATGGTCTCCCTACTGTGCACATCTGTACACTATACCACTTTTGACGTTATCATTTGTTCTTTCTCATCATTTTACAGTGCTTTGTCTAACTGCAGCATGTGTAGGATACAGTGCACTGCAGCGTGGAAGCCCATGCTATGGCAACTTGCCAAACATCATTCCATCCCCTCTTACTGTCAGAGGAGATCACGCATGGGCCTGTCTACGGGAAGGTGTTATAGGATGCTATAGGCTCGCTGCCACATGTTGTTGCTATCGTTTTCGTGTTTGGTGCAATCCTGGCAAAGTGTGTTTGGTCCATCTCAACACTTTGCACTCTTGTGCAAACATCCCTCGTCCTCTCCATCCAAACAAGAGTTACCCGGGCTTATCTTTTTTCTCTCCCTTATCGCTTTACATGGGATTGAGCATTCTTCCGGCAAAACGGGCATGCACAGATTATATCACTTCTGAAATACGGAGTTTTGCATGCGTTAATAAACACTTTCTCAGCTGAAGTGACCCCGATTCAAGAGTTGCATGCTTGCATCATTTCTCTCCAACCGAATCAGTTACAGTAAATGAATCGAGACTCAACGGTCCACAACAAGCCCAAGCTGGAGGTGGTTCTGCCGTGCCTGGTCGCACTAAAGCCTGATCCAAAATGTCGGCTCGATTGGTCGCTGCGAGGACCACCACGCCCTTGTTGCTCTCGAAACCATCCATCTCGGTGAGCAGCTGGTTCACGGTCTGCTCACGTTCGTCGTTGCCCTGTCCGAAGCCTCGGGAAAGCCTGTTTGTCTCCGAAGATTGCAAGTTTGACCACCATCGACTATGGTGATATTCCAATCAGGTAACATACATAATTATGCAATGATAACAAACATATAGCTGGAAAATGGCTCTCCAGTGCTACAAATTTTCACGAATTCGGCCCGTTCCCATGAACAACCAGCATGCCACTCACTTGTCCAACAGCTCATGCCTGCACTTCGCTGCCGTCCCACGGCATCAATCTCGTCGATGAAAATGATGCATGGTGCAGACTTCTTCGCTTGTTCGAAGAGATCTCGGACACGTGAGGCACCCACTCCAGCAAACACCTCCACGAACTCCGATGCGGAGATGCTGAAGAAGGGCACACCGGCTTCGCCTCGTGGAGAGGCGAGGATTTCATGTCATTTTAGGCATCCCACAATCCAAAACTGAGATGTTTAGAGTGAGTTTAGATGATTTGGGGCTCTTGAGTCGTGGTGTTCTGGTCACTTTGAAAGTTTGACGTTTCGCAGAAAAGGTCAGCTGCCTGCCACAGCCTTCGCCAGCAAGGTCTTTCCGGTGCCGGGTGGGCCCACCAGCAAGGCACCCTTCGGGATTTGGGCGCCGAGCTCCGAGTACCTGGAGAGCACCGTCTCGCTGGGCTCGTCACTCCCTAAACCCAAGAAAATGTCAAACGCACGGTCATGGATACGGTACTTCATGGTACTTCCTGGAGCTACGACGGTCATCTTTCGTGCCTGGAGGCGTTCTTCAGGAAGTCGACTACCTGCAAGTGGCTCAAGGTGAATCTGCCCAAGGGCCAAATCTGGCCTCTAAACAAAAGAACATCAAACGCCAACAAGAAGACTCAGAAAACAAACTCTTCTCCGCAGCCTTGTCAGATTTGTTGGATGGTGCTGAATAGTTTGGTGATGGTTGATGATGTATATTATGTATCAACACCATCTCATAATTGCATATTACTTTATATTAATATATATATATATACGTTCATATATATATAATTATAGTATAACTATATATATATGTATACGTACAGTATATGTCTCTTCTCTGCACATCTGTTGAGTTCCCGGTCAGGCCTCCACTAGCTCGGTCTTGGCGCCGTCGCACCCCGCCACATCACCAAACTTCACCTGGAGAGCACTGCCGTGACGCGGTGGTCCAATTTACATCACAACCACAGCAAACAGAAACATGGCCCAATGGCCCATGGCGTATGAATCTCATAGGCAGGGGTAGGAGCAAGGGCATCGCTACTAGGGGCTCCTGGCATCGCTACGAACGGAGCAAGGACGCTACGATCGGGGCTCCTGGCCTTACTACTAGTAACAAGAAGCTATTAGAAACAAGAATTCAATAGAATCATAATTAAAATTAGACGTCTCGAGTCTTCACAGGTTCCAGCATCTTCCACCCGTGGTAGGCCTTGGTGTCGCCGTCTTTGATGATCCGGGCTTTGGACTTACCCAGCTCAAAGGGATTACCACCTCGGGTGAAGCAAGGTCTGCTTCTGACTTGGGTCGAACCCAGTGTCGAACGTCCCAAGTGGCGCCTGGGCCACCCGGTCCGGCAGGTCCACCGACACCACCAAAGAGTAGCAAGAGGCCAGCGACCAACCATGCCAATGGACCAGCGAAGCGTGCCAGGAAGTCCAAGGGAGATCCGGCCTCACCGGTCGACATCACCACATCCACCTGCGTAGGTCCAAGATCTAAGAGATCTAAGACAATACCTTCTTCAGATCACAAATCTGGAGTGAATAAAACTTGCAACGCTGCTTCTGAACTTTTCTAGCTTGTTTCAAGAACAACAAGTAGAGCATGTGTGTTTCTTTGGCCAGCACCAAACTTCTGTTTTGGGCTATATACGTTTTACTACACCAGCATGAGCCCCAAACAGCAGCAAAAGCTTGATGCTTCTTTTCGGGAGCAAACCTTGACGGCGTTTGCCACCAGTGTTGAGCCATGGGAGACCAAGGAGACAAAGCAGAATCCCGAAGAGCCATGGGAGACACAGGGACACAAAGCGAGACCAAACATCAGAAATCATATTGGCCCGGGATCGTTTGTATATTTAAGAACCCCTCACAGCAAACCTGCTTGGGGAACTGTAGCCGCCCAGGCCTTCTTGTCAGCAAGCTGGTTAAAGAGCTGATCTTCAATCTGTGCGTTTGGAATGAGGTTCACTTCCCGCCGGGCACCTTCCTTAGTGATGTACTGGGCAGAGAGCATGTCGGGCTGAACACGCACCATCTCAACATCGCCCTTGTTCACTGAATCAATGAAATCAGAGTAGTTGATCACATCTCCCGCATGCGCAGGCTGTAAGGCCATGCCCTGGGTCAACAGAAGGGATGCTGCCATATTGGTCACCCATCGCAAGGGGCCCTCCATTGGGCTGGTACTCTTCTGCTGATTGTGCTTCAGCTCAGCCGCCAGAGCCTTCAGATTCCTCATGCGATCTCCCTCGTGAGGTTTCGACAAGACATCCTGAACGGATGCGACCAAGTGCAACAGGCCGGATTCCGACAGCTCCTTCTTGGCCTTTGCCACTGACCTTTGACTCCTGGACACGAACAGGATTTTGGAATGAGGTGGGAACACTTCGTTTCTGAACCAATACAAGCGGCTTGTCAATACGGCATGATTAGTGATGATTAGTGAATTCCTGCATGTTTAACATTGTTTAACCCTTCAATTGAGAAGTTGTACGTGCAGTGGTGCAGCCCAACCACAAGCTCCTCGCTGGCTTCCTGCGGTTTGCTGCAGCTGCTGCAGCTGTCATTCCCATGGTCATGCCTGCTGTAAGGCCTGGTAGAGAGCTCACTGCATCCTGCTTGACCTGAAAGCGGCACTTCTTGGATAATGCCCTCATCTGCTGATATCAATCAGACTGAAATCAAGTCTCTGATTTAAAAAAATCTCAGAGCACCGTACCCCAGAAATGCTCACAGGTCAATCTATGCAGTGTCAAAAAGAAATGCGTTGGCCCTGCCTGAGCAGCCACAGGAGTTCGGGCAGAGATTTGCTGGACAGGAGTTCCTGGAACAACAAAGCTGGTTGCTGCCAGTGCGGCAGCACCCAGCACCACCGGCACCGCTGTACGACGTCCTGACATCTTACTGAAGACTGCCATGGCCTCAATGCCACAACTGGATCAGCGATTGAATTGAATTGCGTTTAGAGACAGCTGCGGCCACGGACCAAGAATAGAGCATGAAAATGGATCCAAGAGGATGCAACGAGTGGAGTGAGTGGAAGGAATTATACTCAGTTTCCCTAAAGTATGAGCGCTTCTTCAAGGAAGCTCCCCCTGCCCTCAAGAAGCAGCGTGAGATATCCGGCGTCGATGTCTAGTAGCTTAAGTAGCTAGAAGCGAACTTCTCCCTTACTTCATTAAAAGGCGCCTACTTGATTAAGTAGGAGGTCGAGGCCAACCAGGCTTAAGAATCTGTCCGTTGACGAAACTGGGTGCCGGCGCCGTGTCGACTCCGCACCTTCTTGGCGCCTTCAGCCACATCCACTCTCGCCTGCACGGCGTCGTTGCGGCCTTTCACCTGCGCGGACGGTGTGTGACGAAACCGATGGACCTGCCGAGTCTTTTTTGTCCGTTTAACAGCAACGGCAACAAAAACAACCACGAAGATCCAGATTGGATCCCGAAACGTCAATTTTGGAGCCGAAACACCGATTTGAAACAAGTTTCCTTGAGGTGCACCAGGCTATTCTTTGATCCCGTCCATTGGTGCACCACTGAAGGATCTTATTATCCACAATTCTCATGAGATGCGTCCAGGCCATTCTGGAGGCGTGTCCAGATCATCTTCCCTGCTCGCGGTCACACTTGTCTTGGCTGTCTCATATTGTACTATATGGCCTATCATATCTATTGTCCTGGCTTTTCTGCTTGTTCCGGCAGACAGGAATGGAGAAAGAACAAGTCAACAAGTCAACATATAGGAATCAACAGTAATTGCTTCAGAATGATTGTGGCCTCCTATGGCAAAGTGATAGTTCCCTCAAACATGAACATTCATATCATGTTATAGCAGCACAATATAGCAAAACATTAGTAATTAGTACAACTGTACCAAAGGTTACCAAAGGTACTTGGAATACTACCTATTAAAAACAAAACCATTATGGTACCTAGTGGTAATGGTAATGAAAACCCGCTTCACAACTTGGAAGAACATGGGTCGGGTCTTGGGATGATACTCCCTACAACTTGAGTTCTTCGCAAGTTTGGCCACAGTTGTTGAGTCCACACTCAAACAAGGAGTGAACAGGAAGTGATAGTAGAAGCATATAAGATATATATATATATTATAATAGATAAATTGTAATATGTTTTACAATGTATTATATATACCATTGTATACGTATAGTAATAATAATCACATTCAGTTCGGTCTTTTGGGAAATGTCACGCCAGTTTTTTGAACCACGAATCATGGTGAGAAAAATAAATAAACGCTTCGTCCGCAACACAAATATGTCCAATGTTGAGAGTTCACTGCTTTCAATAGACAGGCAAATGTCTATTTGGGTGCCATGAATGGTCCTTACTCAACAATTTGTTACTACTAGTAACAAGTGCCACGCTAGTAGTAACAAGTGCCTTACTAGTAGTAACAAAAAGCTATTAGAATTAAATTAAATTTTGCGGATTGTTCGGTCAGGTCTTGGAGGATCGTTCGGGGCATGTTCGTCCGGGACATACCAGTTCGGTTCTGCTTCGTCCGTGGTCCCTTTTTTCTCACGCAACTGCGTCCGGACATTTCCGCACGAGCGACGTCAAGCAATGGATAGGGTCCACAGAAGGAAGTTGGAAAGGAACCGATCAAGCCACAGTGTACCACGGTTTCGTTCTGGTAAACATCAATACAGCCATCCTCAGTATCTCTTTTTCAGCAGGGTTCATTGATGTTTGGCAGACCAGTCATGCTGTGTTGAAGCCTGAAAATATAGTCTTCCTCTTCAAACGCTCGCTCTAGCGATCCAACCACCTTCCAGCGAAATCCATCCGTGCTTGGCGCCTGCCGTGTGTTTGCACACACCTGATCTGTGCCCCCTTTATTTCCATTTTGAGGGCACAGCACCAGTGCTAATAGGGTCATTATGGGTCATTTGTCACCCAGTGTTTGGTTTAGCCAGGCGCCCTCACAGAGACCGGCGGAGGAACGAACGTTTCACTTCCTGCTTGCCCATTGTTCCGGTGTCAACGGCTGGTGCAGCATCCTACAAAGTAAAAAGCGAATACAAGCATCCGCTGGCTGGTGGACATGCCAAAGGAACACGAACAGCTTTATCAAGTTTTAGCCATGTCAAGGATCATAGTAGTGTTTCCTTACCGCTCTAATTAACCTGGAGTGATCTCAGATTTAGCGGAGATCGAACTTTCCCAGAAGGCACGTGACGAGACAGTCCCAGTGCCCATTCCCAGCTGTGGTCACATATCCAAGACCTTGACGCTCATTTTGACCACAACCCATTGGTTGGGAAGTTCCTCAAATAAACCAAATGGTCAGTTGCATGGAAAGTCTAGGTCATTCTAGGTCTAGGTATCCGGACTGGATTGAATCTTTGCCCCTTCTTCCGATCTCTGGAAAACGGCCGTGCGTCTTCTTTGGCGCATTGGTCGCGCGGCACCGCGGTGTTCAGAAGCCTTGCAAATGCAGTGCAGTCAATTTTGTTGCGATGTTCAAAGGCTTTGATCTTTAGCAACACCTGTCGCATTATCTTCAAGTGATCCGTGCTGCCTCTATCCGAATGTATCTTCCAACATGCTTCTGGATCCTTGCAAGCCAAAAGTGGTTGTGACTGTCATCTCGATTTTAGCCACTGAACCTTGATTGCGAGAAGAGCTGACTTCTGAGGTGAGGTAGTGAAAGCCCTGTACTTATTGACAAAAGATCGTGAAAACGTTCAAGAGTTCATGCTGCAGGTCAAAGTCCAACAAGCTCAGACCTGTGCAAAGCCACAACAGGTGCATTATTTTTGCCCATCCAAAGCCCTGCACAACAACTAGGAACAAGAACGCTACGAACGGGGCTCCTGGCCTTACTACTAGTAACAAGAAGCTATTAGGAACACGAATAACGAGCGACGCGAATCTGACAGAGGCTCCGCACTCAGGACATCAACCTCTTACCACTGGCATCTCTGATGGTGACCCACCTCAGTGCCAAGCTCAAATCGAAATGCTTGCCAAGGAGGGGCAGCGGATATAGTGCGCTGAGTCGTTAAATCAGGACGGAGTGTTGCCAGCTTTCTCTTGGTGTTAAATGGCTCTAAACATAAATTAAATCTGGACGTAGTCGTACATAGTCGTGGTCAAGCTGCGTGTTGTTTTGTGACATGTCATGATACCACTCGCTAAGAATGGACCCCCAGCCAACTTTGTCCATGAATTGATGCTGGAGGGCGCAAACTATGCAAAACTGGAGCCTCTTTAGTCTTGGAACAAATTGATGTTACATGTTATTGCAGTGTGGCTATTGTTATTGCAACATGTTGCAAACACTTCTTCCATTGGATCCCACTGTCAACGCTGTGCGAGGTTGGCAAGTGCACTGACCTGAATACAGTAGTGTAGACCCATCCTTGTATAGAAATGCCTCGTGGTCAGGTAGGTATTTTTGAAGATTATTGAGTGAGCAATGGAGAAACCATACTAGTGCATCAACAACCCATCATGAAGCACATGCTCTCCTCTAAACCAACAAAGCCCTCCACACGGAGTTCCAAAAAAATAGCCAGGATACACTGTCTTTGTGATGTGGAGACGTGGATGGTGTCCACATTCATTGTCCAGGAGTCCAGAACATGGGGCAACTGTACAGCAACTAATGTCATCTAATGTCACATTGGCAAAACCCAAGATGGGAATCTGACCCAGTCGCCATTAATGCCCCTCTTTTTCTAAGCGCATATGGTCGATCTCGGTCTCTTGAAAGAGGAAATCCCCCAAACCATGGACCATTGGCAAATGGACCTAATTTGTTGATCAATGTTCTTTAATTGCGACCAAAACCTATTAGTGCTCCTCTACCTCTCTACCCGTGACCTTGTATCGATCACTCAGAGCCACTGTGATTTAGGGGAGTCCATCTTTCGTGAGACCGACCCATATTCTCGCGATCTTCAGTTCTTCTTGCCTTTGCAGGGCCTTTCAGGGCACCGGACGGACGGATGTCAACAGTGCTCAGCGTGGAACGCGGTGCACCCATGCCCCCAAAATCAGTGTTCTGCCCATCGCTGGATTGGCGGAACACTTAGAGCACTTTGAAAGCAACAGCTCGAATCGAAGTTCAATGACTTTCAATGGAAGTATAATTACAACCCCGAAGGATAATAAGGAACCTGAAAGCCACTCGTCTATACAGAAAAGCAGTCTTCCACATTCTTGGGTCGGTTTGCAGGTTCTATGATTCACAAATGATGTTCTATGCTGATTGAAGAAACGTCCTTCAAGTAAGCCTACCAATTTACTTTTCGCTGCTGCTGAGAAGGAAAACTCAGCAACAAAACATTGTAGTGGCCCCAACTACATAGACAAGTAGATAAGTACTGTAATCTAGATTAGTTAAGGTTCGTTTACATAGACATTTTCGGGCAATCGTTCCTATCTGTTGGAACTACAAACATGCGTTTGCCTTTTAACACGGAAAAGAATCATGAGAATGTGACAGGTCAACCACATTGCCCGGCTCTCGAAAGATTGATAACACATGACAAAACACACAAATACTTTTGGGACATGTTGTGTAAGTCACTTGGATCGTGAGTCTCATAGATCAGTTGGTTGAAAGCCCGCTGACCCGCAACCGGTACCGTAGTTGGACAATACATTCAACATTCAAATATATTCAAACCATTCACTAGAACCCGCACTTTGTTCATCTTTGTTACTTCCCCACCCCAAAAAATCCATTTGGACTTGCAAAAAGAACTTGGGCCAGTGGACAAAAACAGACCCCATTGGAGGTGCTGGGGTCGACTCTTTCGTAGCTGAAGGCTCAAGGTTTGTTCTTTTCTATCTACAGTATCGGCTGCCTTTTCTTACTTCTCTGAGCGGTCTCTTTCTAAATATTAGAATTTATAGCATATTGTACAAAGATTTGAATTGTGATT